TATATATATATATATTTGCAGTAAATCGATGTAAACCATTGCATTTCATGGAGCTGTAATAACTTGTATTGAGACGCCCCATGAGGACGCACTTAAACTTTAGGATAAATAATAGCCCTATTTCTTAGCTGTGGTAATTTCCAGATCAAAACAAAAGGTTAGGGGTTCTTTTACTAAATATATAGGCTACGTGTATCGGATAAGTTAGTTAGAACAAGTAGCCTAAATAAAACTTGTGTTTTGTTTAAACGCCTATGCTAGGGGCATCAACAAACATTTATTTGTTTCTTTGTTTGTTTGTTTTCCGTGATATTATATTCAAATCCGACCCCCTGAATGTCATTATCGTGTTCACTGGTCAGAATAGGCCTAAGCCTGAGTCCCAGTCATCTCAATGACAAAAGTGTCCCAATACACCTGAATTCACCCTAAGCATGACCAAGTTCTGACATTTTACATTTAAATGCGATGATGAACGTTAATGCAATGAAATGTATTTAACTACGTTTAATGCATAATGTCAACCAACACGTTTTGCTGCACTGTTTGAGTGTCCTGATATATGTTAGGAAAATACGGTAATTTTAAATACAGTTCATTCAAATGTAATCTAATATATTATCAAATAATTATAAAATTAAGCTGCAGTGATAAGATCACAAATAGTGTACTGAAGTCAACAGCTAGAGCTCTGGTTTAATGTCATTTTCAAATCATTAATGCAAAGAAACCCCCAAAAATATAGTTAGTTGAGCATGTGATAAGCAGAGCTGGTAGTAACTGATCACACATCATCTGGATTACGTAATCAGACTCCAAAAAGCAAGAACTTGTAATTAGAGTAAATTACATTTTCAAATACTCACAAATCAGACTACAGTTAGTTTTTTATTGGTTACATATTAGTCACACAATTGCAATAAATTATTCATAATTCCTCATTTTCATCTTTTAAATTTCCCTTTCTAAAATAGCCTACCAGTTATATACACTCAGAAGATCCAGTTTTGTGGTCATTCACACAGAGACTAGCCATTAGTCAGGTGACCACTGATTTACATAAATGAGATTTTAAAATAAATATTGTAATAATTATGCATCACATTTGCATGTTGACATTGGTTAATGGTCACATGACATGCAGGTAAACATAAAATATTTAATCTTTTTTAGTGTTTTATTTTGATTCTTATTTTAAAATGATTTGTTTTCATTTTACATTTTTATGATTCAATTAATTGCTAGCTTTTCATTAAACTCACAAACCCCCTGCAGTTCCTTTACGAACCCCAGTTTGGGAAACATTGAGGTGATATTATGTTTAATGCACTTCATGTAGTTACAATGCCGAATGGAAAATATGTTCTTACTCTTTGCATTTTTATATCAGTATGGTACAAGATTATCCTATTTAAATCAATGTGATAAACGAGTTGTCAAAAGTAATAAAAAAAAAGTAGCCTATTATATTATCTAAAATATGTAATGTAATGAATTATGTTACTGACTACAATTTTTTTTCCTGTAATTAGGAGTCAGTAACGAATTACCCAGCTCTGGTGATAAAGCACGCCTGCGTGAGCCTGTGTGAGGAACTGAATTCATTCATCCACTCAACATCACTGACAGCAGATCATGCTTGAAATGAGTTTGAGTCGCATGTGTGTTCCAGAGTTTCAAGAGGAAGGCGTGCAGTTTCTGAGCAAAGTCCGACTAAATATAACACAATAAAGTTATTATGACTTAGAGAAGAGTTTTTAGTAAAGCATTTAATTCACATGTGGTTAACAGGAAAATCCAGATAGCTTAACACTGAGAAACTAGTAAGCTTAACTGATAATGTGTATTTAATGATAATATAGGAATTTGCAAACGACAATTGTTGAGTTCATTATGCAAAATATAAAAAGTGTAAAAACCTCTATTTAACATTAGTAGTTCATTCAGCTCTGATCTATGGTTTGCTTGGCTTCGGATGACGTGAGATTTGATTAAAATATTTTAAGTAACTCTTGTTTATACATGTGCAGCAAATTTCCTCAAGCATTTTCAGTAATGAGTACTGTTTTATTTTCTCCCAAAACTGACACCTAAACATAAATGTCATTCTGAGAAAATATTTACCATCGTTTAGTTGCAAATGCACTCATTTTTGTATTATAACATTGAATGCAAAACATAAAAAGATCAGATCTGAGAGTCTCAAATGAGCATTTTCGTTACCATACGTCTACAGTAAATATTAGACCTTCGGATACACATTATCTCTTGCAATGACAACAGAGCCGGACTAATAGTAAGTACAGTGACAGCAACATGCATTTCTAGGAAACACTGATCATTCAATTTCATGCTTACAATGCTGGCAAACTGACCATTGATGATATATAATTCTTAGTTTCTGAGTGATAACTACAATATTGGAAACTCAAAGATAATTGTGACTAAGGCATGTTTATAACAAAGGAGCAAATTTACTGGATTACACCATTTGAACAATGAAACATGAATCACTAATTCACGCATCTTTATGTTTTATTCCACCAATAGTATAAAATGGCAATACAAATGTTTATTATCATTATTATTTCAAAATGTTATCAGTTATAATAATGATATTTTGTGACTGATCACAGGTAAAACACCATGTAAAACATGTTTAACACACGCATGTTTTTGCACTTTTTACAGTGATATTGTATGTTGTTTACAAAAGCATAGTGTTACACACAATCATTTCACATTTACATTTCACAGTGTATATGTAGGACACACACTGTGCAAGAAACACTGGTAAACACCTTTTCAAACTGTGCTCCCGTCTTCAGTCCAGTTCAACAGCTCTTCATAGCCATCCTGACAAAACCTTAATAGGTTGTATTTACACCTCAAGTGTTCTAGTTAGTGTGCAATCAGCACAGAGCCAGCATCATCACACTATACCTCAGGAACAAACTGTGCTTGAGTTCAAAGGAACTTGCTCAACCTTCATTTAATATGCAGATACGCACCGTATTTCAAAAGGATGGGATTAGTAGAAGCTCTTTTACATTTGAACACATCAGTGTCACAGAGTCCTGTGCAGTTTTAGATCAGGATGCCGCTGTATTTGGACATTTTGGATTTTTTTTATTATTATTATTATTATTGAACGAAGGCCATTTGAAATATTACAATAAACACATTCAGTACCAAACTGTATACAAAAAGGCAAACTGTATATTTAAAAAATCATATTGACAATTGAACATACAAAATCGCTCTTGTTCATCCTGAAAGATAGAGCATAAAAATTTAATATAAATTCAATAGTTCAATATAATAGTAAGATTAGCCATAGTGACTTATTTCATAGGCCAGTTGTTGACAAAAATATAAAATTAATAGTTAATGATCACTTACACTGTCTGATCCCACGTTATTGACTGAAACACAAAAATCAAGATACAGTACAGTGTAACTTTTCCTGCATTAATAACCGTATTCTATTTGCAGAAGCAACAACAACAGATCAGTAAAAGGAAGCAGGTGTATTCTCACTTTGTGCAGCACTGCTTACAGTGATATTTTAGGCTTATAGTATTTTTCATGATGTGTAATTTAATTAGAAATTAAATTCTTTTTATGGAGGAAACAGTAATGTAATGTGCTGCCTACAAGACAACGACTGCACCCACGCGAAACTGCACCGAGGCTACTTACAATGTAATATCTGAGCTTTCTTTCTCTGCAGTCCTCAGACACAGGCAGGTTTCTCTGCACTTCTTGTCTGACACCCCTCCCTCTGGAGAACAGATCTGGCCAAAGAGCCCTGCTGAGCTGCTCATCGGCTGCTCTGGAAACTCCCACACCACGGCCAGAGCAATGTGCACAGACTGTACAATGCAGAATCTTCTATTGGGCGTGCAACAACAGCAAAGCTTCGTTTGAATGCATGCACTTCCAGTGCCACATGGTTTCCTTATATGCATTCTTAAATGTAGTCACATATAACGCACTGTGCGCGTTTAATGGCAGTACAGGAGCAATATCATGCATTCGGTCGTTAGCAGCCCATCCCCCTCTCTGAGAGCCCAGACTGTCTGGGAAGGGGAGGGAGAGTCTGCCAGACAGCCAGCCAGTCACTGAGTGCATCAAGCCACATGGATCACCTTGCAGTGCGCTCTGTGGAGATGCGCCTGTGTGCATTCATAATCAAGGAGCATGCGAACTCCAGTGACCTGGCACACGCACATTAAATTACTGTCACCATGAGGCGTATTGTATGATGACCCGCAGACACTTATAAACTTGCTCAGATATAAAGGCCACTTACAGTAAGCAACGCACAGCTGCTGTTACGTGAGCGTTAAAAAATCGTTGAGGCAGGTAATATGTGCTTTGCAAGTCCAAACAGACAAGGCAGACGGTTCAACTGACGCACAGGGGACACGCCCACTTATGCA